GGGCGGCTCTCTGGGTGCCATTTGTTGGCTGCTAGTGTTGCTTTTTTTTCCTGCTTCTTTTGATTTCTCACTTGCCTCTCGCCACCTCCCCCTCCTTTCACTCAAGTGCCTGGCTCCGTGCTCCATCATTGCTTCTTCCTCAGGGGCTCCAGAGTGTCGGCAATTTGTGATGTACGCTTTCCCACTCTCCACCCTACTTCACCCACACTAGGCCTCCTCTGCTTCCTGTGGACACAGTCTCTTGTCCAGAAACACCAGCCCGCACTGGCTGGCTCTCTGACTGCCATTTGTTCGCTGCTGCTGTTGCTTTTTTTTTTTTTTTTAACCTGCTTCCTTGGATTTCTTGCTTGCCTCTTGCCACCTCCTACTCCTTTTGCTCGAGTGCCTGGCTCCGTGCGCCATCTTTGCTTTTTCCTGAGGGGCTGCGGAGCTCCACTCGAGCGTGGAGCTGCGTCCCGGTCTGGGCTACTGCGCTGGTAGGATCCCAGGGCTTTTGTTTGTTTGTTCATTTTGAATTGTCTGTTTCTTTTCTTTTCCTTTTCTTGAGTTGGGAGCCCTTTCTGGCCAGGCGGAGCTGCGTGGCAAGGAACTCCCCTTTGGCTTCCACACAAGTGTGGAGGGATCCCTGAGGACATTTCTTTTTTCGTTGGTTTTTTTTTTTTTCCTGTTTTTTTTGGGGGGCCTTTCTTGTTCTTTTTGTTTTTTTTTTCATTTGTTTTGTTTTCTTTTCCCTCTTTTTCCCTTTTTGTCTTTCTTCACTGCTCAGTTTCTCGTCTCTCTATATCTTCCTTCTCTTTCTAATCCCTGAATACCAGGCGTTGTATGCCTCTGCACCTTCTGGCCAGGCTGTGCTGCGACATCTGAGAGCGATTTCCCCAGACCTCATAGCTGCATCGGTGGGATCCCTGGGAACTTTGCGGTTCTTTAACCTTTCTGATTTTTATTTGTTCATTCTTTTCTTTTCTTCCTCTTCCCCTTTCTGTTTTTCTCCATTTCATAGTCTCTCATCTCTCCATTCTAATGGCAAGCTCCCCTAGTATTCTTTTTTGTTTGTTTCTATGTTTTTTGGCTCCTGTTCCTCTCTCCTCTCTCCCATATCCATCTTACCTCCACACATAACCATTTCCCCGCTACATCCTGCCTACCTGTACCGTGCGCTTGACATCACACCACCAAGCAATGCAGGCATGGCCTACTGGAACCTGCCCAGCACTGATTACCGACCCACCCTGGTGGCTGTAGTGAGTGCCACAAACAACCCGTCCCAGTGGCTCCTCTTCAGCTAGACCTGCCCTGCTGTACCATATGTGAGAGACTGAACCTGCCAGTTGGAGAAGGAGACGAAAACTATCGAGCGCACAGACGAGCAAACAACAAAGAGCATGCAGTCTGTCTGCTCAGACGTAGTCAAAATTTTTTTTTTAAAAAAGGGAAGAAACAAACAAATCTACGATCAATAAATGAGAGAAATAACTACTGAATGCCCCGAAAACAGCAGACAATATCAAAACATTTACAAAAACAGGACAGGATGGTTCCAGTACGCATCCAAATTAAAACACCAGATAACTCTCCTGTGGAAGAAAATGCACTAGAAGTACCTGATAGGGAATTCAAATCTCTAATACTCGGAATTTTCCAAGAACTGAGGCAAAAAGCTGACAAACATGAGGAAAAAATAGACAAATTCATGGAAAATACAGA